AAGGGCATGGTTCCTCAAAGGAAAACAAGCCACCAACCTCTAAGAAAACCATATGTAAAAAGACAAGGATTCACACCCCCAAAACAGGTGATCTGGGCCCCTTGAATAAGAAACCCAAGACTGATTGCTCTCACAATTTAGAGAAAGAGAAGAGTCTTTCTCCTTTTTTGAAAGATTATGATTATTTGGAAAACAGGGCAGGTTTTCAGGGTGGGTATAAGCACCCTGTCTTGAAAGATCAGGATTATTGTGAAAAAAAGAGGGGGGCTTGGGATGGTGCTGACAGGCATATACAGAAAGAGTGTGCAGAATGCTTTGAAAGATCATGATTACTACCAGAGCAAAAGAGTAAATTTTAGTCAGAGAGGAGGTAGTCTATGTAACTGGAACAGCAGTCATGGCTTGTATCATAAGAGGGGGAGTCATCGTAAACGCAGGGGTAAGACTGGGTGATGAATCAGCAAGTGGCTTGTGGGGGGAAAAGTAAGGGCCTGGTTAAAGATGAGTGTGGGGAAGGCTAAACACCGGTTGAGAAAAAATAAGAGATCCCCTAGTAATGGCACTTTAGAAGGCCCCTCAAATGCTTCTCCTCCTCCCAGGCCTGACCCTTTACCAGGACCCACAGAGCCAGAGAGGGGAGACGGTGACTTTGATTTAGGAAGTCCTTTAGAGGGCCCCTCAAGCGTTCCCAGGCTTCCCACACCACCAAGACCTGAAGGGTCAGAGTTGGGATAATGAATCTGGTGTGGAAGACAGTTTAGAGGACCCCTCAAGTGCCCCTGGTCTCTTGAGTCAGCAGAGGATGTTTTACCAGACATACGTATGGTGCGAGTGAGAAGACAAGAGTGGTCTGTAGCCAGGTTTGGAGGCATGAAGTACACCGAGGAGTTCTGTTTTGTGAATCTGGAGCGTGTGCTAGAGCTGTTTTTAGAGTGGTTCAGTAACCTGTTACAAAGCCAGAGAGAAATATTACTTGATTCGACATTTTGGCTGATTGCAGTTGTTGTGAGAGGCCGGGGAGGTGGGAGCCATCAGGTTATAATCTCTATCCCCTATTCCCTGATCATTGCTAAAAAGAGGAAGTATTTAAATCGACATGAATACATATGATACTAACCTGTGCTTTGCAGGCAGTCTATTGGCTGTTACAAAACGTAGAGGGGCCAGAGATGCCAAACTGCTAGATGGTGCCAAAGAACTGCATAGGAAATTAGGCATGTCTATCTATCAAAAGGTTATGCTCCATCAAGTACCTTTGTTTGAAGATCTTGAACAGGTTAACATTCACATAGTGATGCACAAGGAAAAACTTGGGTAGAACTTATTTAAAATGCAGGATGCACCCAGATACCCTGACACCTGTTTTCTTCTGCCGCATGGTGAACATTATGATGGTATTTTGGATGTGAAAAAGGTGTTTGGCATAAGAAATTATTGGGACCTTTGTCAGACGTTGTACAGCCATAGCCACACGTGCAGCTTCCAATGTCGTCTTTGCCTGAGCCCAAATTGTGCTGAAAACATGGGCAGGACACAGAGATGCCCCAATTGTAAGCTGTTCTGTAGTTCCAAAGAGTGCTTAGAAAGGCTCTGGTCTCTGAAAATCGGACTGAATTTCTGACTAAAACTCTGTGTGATGAGCGTAAATCTTACGTGGACAAAAAGCATGAGTACAAAGGGCAGCTGTGCAAACAGTGTTATGGGAAAATCACGGATGTAAACAAGCACTGGTGCTTTATGTGTCAGATTAAAGAGCCTGAAGAAGGCGAGGGGTACATTTTTTATGATTTTGAATGTGTGCAGGAGATGGGGATGCATGTGCCCAACTACATTTTTGCAATGGAGCTAAAGACAGGGGGAAAAAAAACCTCAGAAAGCCGCAGGCAAAAACCCCCAAAAGGCTTGTAAAGCTAAGCCCAAAAAGCCGGAAAGCACTTGAGAGTTTAAGGGTGAAGAGTGTCTGTCTGATTTTATTAAGGTCTTTATGGATAAAAAGTTCAAGGACTACACCTTCATAACTCACACCAAAGGCTACGATAGTTATTTCATTGTTATTCAGTTATTGAAGGAAAAAAATGGAGGTGAAACTAATCATTCAGGGCAATAAACTCATGTGCATTGACATGACCAGGCTAGTCATCCGTTTCATAAATTCTTTAAACTTTTTGCCAATGAAACTTAGCAGATTTCCACAGGCAATGGGGTTTGAAGGATGCAAAGGTTATTTCCTACATTTTTTTAACATGGCAGAAACCCCAAATTATGTGGGGCCTCTCCCAAAGTTGGAATACTACGGCATTGAAAATATGATGTCCAGTGAGAAAGGACAGTTTTTAGAATGGTATCAGAATAAGTGTGATAAGACCTTTGACATGCAAAAGCAGCTGGCTTATTATTGGCATATAAAAATTTTGAAAGAGGCCTGCTGCCTCTACAGGGATGAGATTATGAAAATGACACAGCGGGTAGACCAAGTGAAAGTAGATGGTGAACTCCAAAACATAGTATGCTGCATAGATCCTTTCCAATATATCACGCTGGCCTCTGCCTGCATGGCCACGTACAGGTTTATATTTTTGGAACTGCAGACCATAGCACTTCTCCCCCCGGACAACTATCACAGACAGAAAAAGAGGTTTTCAACCCCATCTATCCAGTGGCTAACGTACATTTTGGAGAAAGAAAATATTCAAATTTCATATGCCTTGCAGGGTGGGGAATTTCAGGTAGACCCCTATTTTTTAGACGCCTATGCCAACATTAATGGGGAACCTATGGCGTTTGAATTTAACGGATGTTTTTTCCAC